TGAAATAAACTGAGTTGCCACTGTTTTGAACTGGTTACCAATACTTGTGATCTGCAGATTCTATGTGGTGGCGATGCATGTCTGCATACTAACCAGACCAAAATGCAAACACTCAGAAGGTGGAGGTATCAGGACAACGTCTTGGGTGACTAAGGCGACTGAGTCAACACACGTGTGTGCGTGTTTGTGTTTGTGTGTGTGTGTGTGTGTGTGTGTGTGTGTGTGTGTGTGTATGGGCATTCAGTCTGTCTGATGGAGGTCACCATGGGGTGAGTCAGTGACTGTGTCCACTGCATGCAGTGCTGATGATGGGCAAGAGGGTTTCCATGTGCTGTGAATAGTTCAGGCCTTTCTATCATTGATCCAAATCGGGCGGCATTTCACTGCATTGGCAGCATCAGGAGTGCCTCACGTGTTTCTTTCGACGGATGCATCTGTTGTGCATTTACGCAAGTTGAAAGTGTTTAAAGATTTCCTGTGCACAGCAAAATGATAGAAAGTTGTGATGGAGATTGCGACCACCAAAGCAATTCACTTTGTCATCAACGTCGCCTCCTCACTTGGTCCACGGTAAGAAATAAATCTGCAATTGTTGAGCAAGAACTGGTACTTAGGTAATTTGCGAACAATGCAATATTTCCATGCATTGCGAGTAGTATTATTGAGGGGATTCGCAAAGACAACTGCATCTTACATGGCCGTCATTTCGAGGGAAGTTTTAAGGGAGACTTCCTTGACATACATGCTCTCAAATACTCAATAGTGATTGACAACCTACTCTCGCTACTGGATTTATTTAATGCGCAGGCCCAAGGCAAAGCACTACGTTAAATCGTGTGAGATAAAAACGTTGTTTGCTCTCTTCCAATGGAGGAAACGGGATGACTGGCTGTTTGCCAGGATGTGCTTCTCCCATTCATTATCGTACACTACTAGACCATGTGGTGCCATCGCCAATTGATTTGAACACCATTTGACGATATCACATCACTGCACAATTGTGACATTGCTGTATGGTGTGTTGTGTGTTGGAGAATTTGTGAATACAAGGTTGAGTTGAGGCTCCAATCAATGCAGCTGTCATAAGGAATGTGTTTTGCAACAATTCAACAGGGGAATGCCATGCGACACTGCGATATTGTGATGGAAGATGGAATAAGGAGAAGTAAAAAATGGGTCCCTCCAATCCTTTTTCCAATCCGTCCCACAACGACAATAGCAATACACTCTCCTGCGCTATCTACAACTAGAAGAGCATCCATCAGAAACTCCCCAGACTTCATATCCACAAATTGGAGTATTAAGTCGGTGCTCTGCCAGCAGTGCCTGTAATGGGACTCACAACAGCAACGTCAGATTGGATGACTGTCGTTTCGAACAGAATTCCGGAAATCCTATTGAGGACGCACTCGCCATAAATAACCAGTAAATGAATGAATTGTTCTTTCTCCTCCTCCTCCTCCTCCTCCTCCTCCTCCTCCTCCTCCTCCTCCTC